TTTCAAATTCCTGCGAACAAGAAGAAAATCCTTTGTTCTTCATTAGTACCAAGGCTGAATTGATACTGCTGATTTATGCTCATCTAAAAGCGCAGACTGTTTGGTTTTTTTTTTGTGTGTGTGTGTTTTATTTTTATTTTTATTTTTTTTTAGCTCTAGAAAAACAAAATCAACTCCTTTGGAAGGCAGCCAGTCTCCTCAGGCATCTTTCTTTGCAGACTTTACCAACTTCTGAAGAACCTACCAGTTTGGAAGAACTGGTTGAAGGTCTGTCCTCTGTGAAACTGTCATTGCGTTGTTCTTTGTTTACTGTATAATTAAGACTTTTTTTTTTCCCATAAGCAAGCTAAAGATGTTTTTCCCACTTCCTGGGCAAATGGCATTTCCACATAATTCTAAACACATGCAGTCACTCACAGTGATGAAAAAGCTCTTATGTCTTGATAATTGTGATAGTGCTGAAGCCCTAGATGACTCTAAATAGGTTTCCTTGCCCGGGCTTTGTCACGAATGAGGGCAGCATGAGGTCTGAGTAACAGGCTAAACAGTCAGATATGAGACCTAGGGGATCCTAGTATAGACATCCTCGTGCTCGAGACTAATGCCTTCTGAGAAGACATTGGTTTGGAGGTTTTCGAGCCCTTGAGGCTGCCTCTCTGAGGAAGGGAAGGGCACCGTGATCCTAGCTGGGGCTCTGACTTTAGGGAAGTTTTGCTTTGCGGCACAGAACAGGAACTATGGAGCTTGGGAAAGACAGCAAGAAGAAGTATTTAGGATTAAAGGATCAGGGGATAAAGAGCACAATTCAAAAGCATCTAAAACAGGAAAAAAGACTAAGGCAATTGAAAGCATCTGTCATAAATCCTGGGTGCAGACTCTGCAGTCAGAGTCAAGGGTGGGTTCTGCCACCAGGGCTGTCGTGGGCAGAGAGCGTGAGAACACGGCTGAATCTGAGTCAAGAGGTGGCAGCTTCAAACCGCACACTGCAGGCCCAGAGGAGTGCACTAGAGTCAGAGAGAAAAATCCGGATCCCCTGGTCACCAGGGAGATGGAAAGAAAAGCTGTCCTATATTTGGGATGGAAAATAAAAGTGAACTAGCCAGGAACAATGTGACCTCCTCACAGACAATTAAATCTAGACCTTGACCTGACACTGAAAGTACCACGACCTGCCCTCCATATGTCCAGGTGGCCAGGATCCACCTCCATCACTTGCCCACTGGGCCTGGAAGGAGCATGCTATGAGCCGAACTGTGTCTCCCCCAAATTCCTATGTTGAATTCGTAATCCCCAATGCAATGGGGTTTGGAGGTGGGATTTTGGGACCTAATCAGGTAGGGATGAGGTCACGAGGGTGGGGTCCTCATGATGGGATTAGCGCCCTTCAAAGAAGAGACCAGAGAACTTGCTCTGTCTCTGCCATGTGAGGGCATAGCAAGAAGATGGCCACGAGCTTACCAGGAAGACAGCCCTCACCAGGAACCCAGTCGGCCAGCACTTTCAGCCTCTGCAACTGTGAGAAATAAATGTCTGCTGCTTAAGCCCCCAGTCTGTGGTGTTTCATTAGAGCAACATGAGCTAAGACAGAACAGGCCTCTGCAGTGGGAGTTGTACTGTCCCTTCAGGTCCAGCCCAAATGCGACCTTCTCTGAGAAACCTCCTCATATTTTTCCCTGGCAGAATCCCTCTCCCCTTCCTACAATCCTCTGTTGGCACTTCAACTCTAACACTTACATGCAACACAGGTCTTCCTTAAAATGCCGACAGTTATGTATTCATCTGCTACCACTTAATTTTCCCCAACTCTGCCTAGCTCATTCCATTCTACCTCCTGAGCCAATCCTAACTGAGGCAGGAAGGCTCTTGGAGTGGTTCCTCCGACCACTCCAAATCAAATGCACTTGATTTGATTTGTTGGTCTCAGACCTGTCCATTGGGCTGAACAAGCTCTGAGCTGAGCTGCCAGCAGAGATTCAGACCAGACAGCTGAATCTCTGGTCTGGCCTTAGAGCTCCTATGGCATGTCAATTGCAGGATGGGTTCCCACGTTACGCACTTCCGGCCCCCTCCCTTCCCTTGGCCCATCAGTGTGCCCTGTTCTCATGACCGATTTTTGTACTTGAGTCTCTGAGACCAGTTCTTCCACACCACCATCTCTCTCCCATAAGGTTGCCAGATAAAATGTGAGACAACAATCTTTTGGCATAATTATGTCCCATACAACATCTGGGACATTCGTATACTAAAAATTACTTACCGCTTATCTGAAAATTCAAAGTTACCTGGACATCCTATATTTTCATTTACTAAAGTTGGCAACCTTATCTCTCTAGCACCATGATACTGAGTAACCTGCCTGAGTGCTGTGTACTTCTCTTCCCGTCTCCCACATTGGGGACTGTTCCCGAAACTCAAGGCCCCAGTGCAGAGGCCAGCACCCTTCCTTTCACATTGCAACTGCTTTATCTGGTTGGATTCCCAGAGCCATTGATTCTGCCCTCTGGTATGAATCTCTGCTGGCAGCTCAGTTCAGAGCTTATCCAGCCCAATGGACAGGTCTGAGGCCAACTTGTTTCCTTGGCTAAGTCCCTTCTTGCCTCCAGAAGAGTCCAGGACTTGCTGACGACTGCCAGGCTTTGACTGGAATGTCCAGCTATTTCCAACCAGATTGTGACCCCAAATGGCAGAGATAATCTCTCAGTTATGCCATCTAGCATGATGTTTTGTACCTCCCTGATGCCTAATAAATGACTGTTGACTTTATTTTTTAATTTTTTATTTTTGAGACAGACTCTCACTCTGTTGCCCAGGCTGGAGTGCAGTGGCGTGATCTCAGTCCACTGCAACCTCTGCCTCCTGGGTTCAAATGATTCTCCCGTCTCAGCCTCCCAAGTAGCTGGGATTACAGGTGCCTGCCACCACATCTGACTACATTTTTTTTTCTTTGTATTTTCAGTAGAGACAGGGTTTCACCATGTTGGACAGGCTGGTCTGGAACTCCTGACTTCAAGTGATCCACCTGCCTCAGCCTCCTAAAGTGCTAGGATTACAGGTGTGAGCCACTGCACCCAGCCCAAAGTCTCTCTCGATGATTATGCAGTTGCTAGAAGCAGTGGAAGTGTTGGTGGTAGGGAACCATTTAATTGCCTGCTGTATACAGGCAGTGTGCTAACAGCTTTCTATGCATTATATTTAGAGTTGGCAAAGTAGCCTCGGGGACAAATTTGACCTGCAACCTGGGTAAATATGACCATGCTAATTTGTTTACATACTGCCTAAGGCTGCTTTTGCAGTGACAGAGACTATATAACTCACAAAACAGAAAACATTGACAATATGACCCTCTAAAGAAAATGTTTTCCAATCCAAGGGTAGACCATTGAATCCTTCTGCTAATATCTCCAGGAAGGAGGGATTATTCTAATTTCAGAAAAGAGGAAACAGGTTCAGAAAAGTTAAGATGCTTGTTCTAGAGCAAAGGTTCCCCTGCTTCTAAAATTTTACATTTGCATTTTGCCATAAAATTGCCTCTTTTTTCAAAGTTAGGGACATTGTGGGGGGAAATACTATATATATTCCTATTATTTCAAAAAAGAAAAGATATCTTAATATCCGAGTATGATGGAATATAATTACCAACAGCACTTTGGATGAAATAAATTCAATGTTATAAAAATCTCTGAATACTATTCCTGTTTTTTCTTCATTCTGCAGAGGATTGGTGAGAACACAGTCAAGGACCAGTGTGAATTCAAGAATTGGCAGTTGGGAGCCACTTGCTTAGGAATTCTGGCCAGTGAGTGGCAAAACCGGAGGACAGCCAAGCCTCTCTGACGCCAAAGCCTGTGCTGGGACCATTTATCCATCTAGAATTCACGTGCCCATTCTGTCATTCAGTAACTATTCATTGAGCACCTACGATGTGTCGGGTACTATGTTCCTGCCCAGGGCATGACAAATCATTTTCTTCCATTTCTCTCACCACCTCTCTATCCTTTGGCAATCTGGATTGAAACCAAAAACTCAACTCTTAACACAGCTCAGAAAATCATAACTATTGGCCAGGTGAGGTGGCTCATGCCTGTAATCCCAACACTTTGGGAAGCCAAGGTAGGCGGATCACCTAAGGTCAGGAGTTTGAGACCAGCCTGGCCAACATGGTGAAACCCCATCTCTACCAAAAAATAAAAAAATCAGCCGGGTATGGTGGTACACACCTGTAATCCCAGCTACTTGGGAGGCTGAGGCAGGAGAATCGCTTGAACCGGGGAGGCGAAAGTTTCTGTGGAGCCAAGATCATGCATTGCACTCCAGCCTGGGCGATGAAGTGAGACTCCATCACCAAAAAAAAAAAAAAAAAAAAAAATCATAAGCTATTTTCTTGTTGCGATAGACTGACCTGTTAGTTGCTCGGGAAAATGATCTAAATGAAAACACCACAACACAATGATATTACAGGTTCTGTCTTTTTTTCTTTCAGTCTAAGTAGTAACACTAGAGGCTCTTAGGAAAAAAAGAAATTTTATCAAGCCACAGCGCCTGCCCAACCCAAATCTCTGTTGTGCAAAATAGTTCGCACATTGGCCTCTTCACTTTCAAGCTTCTCCAACAAGGAATCAGGACACAGTCCATGAGTAAAAGCTCCACCTTCCATCGATAACTACCATCATCTCTTTAATACCACATTGCTAGAAACTGTTCTTCTATTATAGTGAACTATCACCAACAAAGCAGTCAAGCTATTTAAAAATTACAAGCAAAGGCTGATTACGTAAAGCGACTATCAAGGCACTTTAAATTAGGATTCACATTCTTGAACAAATGAGAACATTCAAATTATTGCATTATATATAACGATGTAATAGCCACATTTAAATATTTCTGACTGAATTATTCCTTTCTAAAAATTATTACATTGATAAGACAAGTAATACAAGAGACATTCCAATTACTCCACTGGTCATAGACAGAGTATTTAAAAATAATTAAATGAAACTTACTGTGTATTCTGTTTCCACAGGTTCATTTGAAGAAGAGGGGAAAGAAAAGAGACAAAAGATGATTTAGACCATGCTTATATGCAATATAAAACCACAGAACTAACAAATACTGATGAACTATAATTACGAAAAATGTACTAATGAAACTTCCATAAATACTGAATGTCTCCATGTTTGCACTGAAATTCTTCCATGATACTTCTGTGGCTGGGCAGATAAGAACAGTCAGACAAGATTCAATTACCCTATAGGTTTGTGGCTAATTAAAAACCAAAGAGTTGGCATTATAAAAGCAAACGAAAGACTAATAATTCCAGTAGAGCATTTCATTAACCATAAAGGAAATCTTTTAAGTGGAAAAGCAGCTTTTGTAACCAATAAGAAGAGCTTGTTACGATGACGTTGAGGTGGGATTTCAAATGTTAGTGTGTTTGAGGGCAGAAACCAAATCTTCTGAGCTTTTTTGGCCACAGTTTCTAGGACAGTATTCAGTACAAACAGCTTATTATCATTGCATTGCAAGTGAGAGGCAAATCGACCTTAAGATTTTCATATTATCTAATAGCAAAGGAAGTCATCTGGAGGCAGAGAGAGAATCTTTTATACAAATTATAGTCAAAATTTGGAGTAGTAAAAACAAACAAGTTAAAATAAGCAACTTGTTTATAGACAAATCATACCTCTAAAGTACTTGGGAATTATTGAGGAAGCAGGGAAATAAGAATCATAAAACCTCTGGAAACGTCTCTATAAAGATCTTTACCTTCCTTCTCCATAAGTTTTTTTTTGTTTGTTTGTTTGAGATGGAGTCTCGCTGTGTCACCCAGGCTGGCGTGCAGTGGCACAATCTTGGCTCACTGCAACCTCTGCCTCCTGGTTTTGTATTTTTAGTAGAGACGGGGTTTCACTATCTTGGCCAGGCTGGTCTCGAACTCCTGACCTGAAGTAATCCACTGGCCTCGGCCTCCCAAAGTGCTGGGATTACAGGAGTCAGCCACTGCTCCTGGCCCTCCATAAGCTATTCATTGTAACTCTAAGAAGGAAGATGGAATGGGCTTAGCTTAGTCCCCCTGACACCTGCCATCTCTGTGTCTGTGTTAGAAGTGCTGATGACCTGTAAGTAAGAAACCAGAAAAGGAGAGGGATACTATGGGGCTCCCACAAGGCCCTGCTTGGATCATCAACTGTAAATCAGTGAAATTCAACAACGCTGTGTCCTTGCATTCACTACATGTGGCATACGGTTGTACTAAAGACTTACCTGTAATTGTGTAGGGATAATAGTTCCAAGCCTTCTCTGTTACATAAAATATTTTGGGGACAACAGCTCTAGCCCAACTAGGCAGTTTGCTAAGAGGAAAGAAAGAAAAAGGACAATTAGAATCTGTTCAGAGTCTCACCACACTATCACATTTTTCTGGATAAAATGCTAGAGAAATCAGGGGGATGCTGGGGCATCTCTTTTCTCCACAGCTGCCCTTTCCCCATCTCTTTGGTGTCTGTCATAGCTAATTGCTTCCCGTGCATATTCAAGTGCTCTCAAAACGTGTAAAGACAGAAGGCTACAGCCTGGCGGGGGAACTCCATCAGACTGTCAGCCTGTCCCCTTTGGATTTGCAAAGACATGAGAATTCAGGGCCTGAAGGGTTCCATGTCTGGAGGGTTGGTCAGCCTGACCTTTGTCTCCTAGGAGTGGTATCCTGGAATGTTTACGCCCAAACACTGGCAGGGAGAGGAAGCTAATCTTAGAGATAGACGTCAGCCTAAGCAACCCATACAAGTGACCTTTTGAAAATGGACAAAAGCAACAGAGAGCAGCAACTTGGAGATAGGAAGAGGAACAAAATCTGGTTGTAGTGGGTTGAATTGTGTCTGCCCCAAAAGATACATCCACATCTTCACCTCCAGTAACTGTGAATATGACCTGATTTGAAAAAAGGCTCTTTGCAGATGTAATTAAGTTAAAGATCACAAGATGAAATCATCCTGGATTTAGGGTAAGCCCTAACTCCAATGACTGGTATCCTTATAAGAGAAAGGAGAAAGAGATTTGAGACTCAGAGACACACCGAGGGGACGGCCACACGAGGACAGAGGCAGACATGGGAGTGGGGTTGCTGCAAGTCAAAGAACCCAAGAAGCTGGGACAGAGGCACGGGACAGATTCTCTCTCAGTTTCCCCAGAAAGAAACACCACTGCCGACACCTTGATTGCGGGTTTCCGGCCCCCAGAACTGCTAGCGGATAAATTTGTGTTGTTTTAATCCACCTAGTTTGCGGCAATTTGTTTCGGAAAGTTATTACAAAGCCAATAAAATGACACAGCCATTCCTCTGGTCAGTCATTTGCAGAAAACAAATTCTCAAAAGGCACAGGTCCCAAGGTCTTTTGCAAACCAAAAACCAATGAAGTTTTGTTTTCCTTCAGAGGCAAACCTTAGAGAACAGTGCAGCCCCAGCTAATTCCTTAAATATTATATTGAAATATATACTATTTCTATTCCTTAAGACATATCTGCATGATTTCATTTTTATCCCAGCCCAATAATCAAGGGTTTCTGTCCTTCCAGAGGTTACCATTTGCTTCTTTCCTACTCTGGGGCCTATAGCTAAGCGTCTGGGCCGCTCATGTCTAGCAGTCGATCAGATCCAGGGAGACTCCGTAGACTTTCAGCTTCTTAGGGCTACATGTTGGCCATAAGAAACATCAAGAAGCGGTTCTGAATTCCAAGATGATAGAACCAGGAGGCTGGAAGGCACGTGGAGCTAATAGAATCCCAAGTCTCAAACCCCTCTTGGATGTGAAATCTAAATGACAATCAGAGCCTGTAAAATACTGCGTACCTTGCCTGTCTTTTCCAGTTGTTTCTCTTATTTCTGACAGTAACCAGGCCTGGCTTTTGAAAAGACAAAGATGGATTCTCAGTGGCTGGCCGGACCTAACTCATAGCTCCCGGCTGTTACTCAGGGTTAAAACAAATGGGAAAGCAAAGCTCCCCGGAAGTTGAGTGAGTGTCAGACGAAGGCCCCTGCTCTTAGGTGGGCTGTGAGGAGTCAGCGGAAGCAGTTTGATCATTCATATAACAATCCTTGCTGCTCTGATGCAGAATTTTTCACTCCTATAAAATCCTCTCTGCAGTAACTGCTCATTTCCCTTACGTTCACACTGCTCAAAAGGATGGGGTTTTTATAGCTTTCGCTGATGATGTATTCCATCCATCACCAAAGTTGGAGTGCAACTCAGGTGACGCCGACAGTGGGAAAATTGCACTGGCTTGCTTGCAGGAAATGGTCATGAGCAAAACTTCCTCTGGTTCCTTCCTGTTTGCCCCCGTACCCTAGCGCAATATGCCAATGGTAGTGTGGGAAGATGTGGATTCCAGTTGCAGACGGGTGATTTTCTTGTGCTTTTAATGGACTGACACAGGGATGGAGAATCTCCCTCAAGTAAGCCAGGCATTATTTAGCTTAGACAAAACGCATATGTCTCTCTACAGTATTAAAGCCCATTCTCCACTGTCCTCTTGCGGGCAGGGGTTCCATCTACACTGCACCCCTCCTCAAATTCACTCCAATCCTCATGCATAGTAGTACTCTGGGGCCCAAGTACCTCCTCACCCCATAATTCATTCCTTACAGCATTTTAAAAGCCTCCCAGCAGAACCAGACTCCTGAGCCACAATCATTTTCTAGAAGAGAGGTGAAAATTATTGGCCATTTTCCATCCACGTCGAGACTTTTCCTATTTGTAAATGGTCCTTCAGGACCCCAGATTCTAGAATCTATTTTAGGTGTTTCAGTCACCAACTTATATAGGATATGCAGCATGATAATCAATGATCTTTTCCATTGAGATGACCTAAAAAACCACGATCATTTAGTCAAGATGGTTGATATTTTATGGAACTCTTCTTCCTTTTTTGGGAGACGTCTTGCTCTGTCCCCCAGGCTGGAGTGTAGTGACGCAATCTTGGCTCACCGCAACCTCCGTCTCCTGGGTTGAAGCTATTCTCCTGCCTCAGCCTCCCGAGTAGCTGGGATTACAGGCATGCACTACCATGCTCAGCTAATTTTTGTATTTTTAATAGAGACAGGGTTTCACCATGTTGACCAGGCTGGTCTTGAACTCCTGACCTCAGGTGATCTGCCCGCCTCAGCCTCCTTAAGTGCTGAGATTACTGGCACGAGCCACAGCGCACGGCCTGGACTCTTCTAATTAGTCTAGAAAGCAGGTTCCTTCTGGTATTTTCCAGGCCAGGTACGAGAGGCATTTGCAACAACTTCCATGATGCGCTATTTAAATATTTTTAAGCCCACTAACAGATCTTCTCAGCCCCCAATTTCCTCGGAGCACATCATTATTCGAATCATTTGTCTGAAAGCAAAATTTATTTTTCCCTGCAGCAATGATTTATCAGGGCCTGTAAAGGAAAATGGAATTAAATTAGTCCCCACTGTTACTGTCACTTTCATGATGTATACTGTCACACAGCCTACAATTCCAAGAAAAAGTCTGTCAGTCAAGCTCACTCTCAAGTGTCAAACAAGAGCCTCTCTGTTAGAAAGGGAGCAAGTTTGAATCAAGTCTCCTTGGTCTATGGGCTAGGGTCAAACCTCCAGTGGCCCATCTCACCAGGGCTCAGGCTTTAGAGACATTGAGGAAAAAGAGGGGCAAAATGATACCATAACCAGCGTCGTATTCCCCCAGATGCTTTGTCAACGCCTCCCAAAGACAGACTTTTCAAAAGCTTTGGTTTCTTACTTACTTTATTTATTTATTTGAGACAGAGGCTTGCTCTGTCGCCCAGGCTGGAGGGCAGTGGCATAATCTTGGCTCACTGCAACCTCCAGTTCCCAGGTCCAAGCGATTCTCCCGCCTCAGCCTACCATATAGCTGGGATTACAGGTGTGTGCCACCACGCCAGGCTTATTTTTGTATTTTTAGTAGAGACGAAGTTTCACCATGTTGGCCAGGCTGATCTCAAACTTCTGACCTCAAGTGATCCACCCACCTTGGCCTCCCAAAGTGCTGGGATTACAGGTGTGAGCTACCATGCCAGCCTGGATTCTTAACTTTTAAACGTTGGTATGAAATAGAAACTATCAATGACACAGCCAAATGGACAACTCATCTGGTTTGCCTGAGACTTCCCTGGTTTTAACACTGAAAGTCCCATCCACCAGAAAATCCCTCAGTTCCAGGCAAACTGGGATGGTTGGTCACCCTAGAACAGGGGTTCTCGCTAGAGGGAGATTTTGCCACCCTCCCCCCATCCCCAGGAGACATCTGGCAATGTCCGGAAATTTTCAGTTGTCTCAACAGAGGTGGGGTGGGGTGGGCAGTGCTACTGGCATCTGCTAAGCAGAGGCCCAGGATGCGGCTCAACCTCCTATGATGCACAGGACAGGCCCCAACCCCCCACAACAGCAAATAAAGATCCAGCCCAAAGCATCAGCAGCAACAAGGTTTAGAACCCTGGCAGATGTCTCTCATGTCATAAATTCCCTAAGGTTCCCGAAATCACAGCTGACTTGATAAGAAGGTCCTGGGGCAGGCGTAATCTGAACTGGTCTTGGGTTAAGGGTGTTTACCTACTTCATAAAGAGCTTCTGGAGCAGAAACCTAAATCATCCCTCCATTAGAAGCTTCTGGTACTTTACAATCCCCATGATCACAAAATTCCCCCGGTACCTAATGTCACATTGCAATGTATGCTCACTCGGGCTTTGTTCCCGGAGGTTTTGAGCACCATTAGGCCAAATGTATTTATATGGAGTCTAATTTCATTTTCTCAACAGGGGTCAGCATTACGGCGGTCTTAACTAGAAATTTTGTTTTGTTCTTTTCTTTTTTCTCTTTTGAGACAGGGTCTTGCTCTGTTGCCCAGGCTGGAGTGCAGTGGCATGATCGTGCCCCTCTGCAGCCTCGACTTCCTGGGCTTAAGTGATCCTCCTCCCTTGGCCTCCCTGGTAGTTGGGACTAAAGGCATGCACCATCACACCCAGCTAATTTTTAAATTTTCTTGCAGAGATAGGGTCTTACTATGTTGCCCAGGCTGGTCTCAAACTCCTGGGCTCAAGCAATCCTCCCATCTCAGCCTCCTGAAATGCTGGGATTACAGGCATGAGCCAGTGCACCTGGCCTTTACCAGAACTTAAACATTCCCAGCAGAAAAGACAGTCCTGGAATTTTCTTCTAGACAGCGTGCCTAAAATCTGCCACATTCTGCAACGAGATTATGCTCAAATAACTGCAGCTCGTTTTAAATAGAACTCTGCTACCTTCATATCCTCATTTCTCACAAGATAGTCCAGGAGGAATATACTGACCTTTTGTTTCCTCATTGCACT